TGACCGGCCGCCTCCTCACCCCACTGCCCCGACTGAGCCCCAGCGGCCCCCATCCCACTCATCCCACCCCACCGCCGCCCGCCCCGCTCCGCTCCGCTCACACGGCCCTCCTGGCGCCCGCCGCCATGGCCGAGCCCCGCGCGCTACCAGAGCGGCTCCGGCGGGGCGGCGGCGCCCCCTGCTGGCGAGGAGGAGCTCGGCGCGGCCTCAGCCGGCACCGGGGCACAGGGCCAGGAGCGTGCTGGCCCGGCCCGGGGCTCCTCGGCGTAAGAAAGGCACGGAGCTACCTGACAGGGTCCCGCGGAAGGTCCAAAACATAAGGACGGGTCTGGAGCGTCCCTCTTAAGAGGAGAGACTGCGGGAGCTGGGCCTGTTCAGTCTGGAGAGTAGCACAGACTCAGAGGTAATCTCATTACAGCGTACAGGTATCTCAAGGGCGGGTGCCAAGAGGATGGTGCTAGACTCTTGTCAGTGCTGCCCAGCGACAGGACAAGGAGCCATGGCCCTACACTGAAACACAACAAGTTCCACCTCAACACGAGGAAGAACATCTTTACATTGAGAGTGGCAGAGCACTGGAACAGGCTGGCCAAGGGACAATGTAGAATCTCACTCCCTGGAGATACTGAAACCCACCTGGACACATTCCTGTGTCACCTGCTCTGGGTGACACTGCCTTAGCGGGGGGATGGACCGAACAAGCAGAGGTCCCTTCCAACACTAACAGTTCTGTGATTATGTGAAAATCTCGCCTCTGTGGGATGCTGCAGTGCTGTTTGCCATTGCTGGGGTCCTGTCCCGACTCTCCTCCTGTCCTCCATGCCAGTGAGACCCCTGCACAGCAGAAACAGGGCTGTAGCATCAGGTCCAGAGGAGGCCACAGAGATGCTGGAAGGGCTGAGACACCTCCTTTGTGAGGACAGGCAGAGAGCTGGGGATGTGCAGCCAGGAAAAGGGAAGGCTCCGTGCAGACCTGATTGTGACCTTCCAGTATGTAAGGGGGCTTATAAGAAAGACAGACGTTTTGCCAGGGTGTGTGGTGACAGGACAAGGGACAACTGTTTTAAACTGAGAGAGGGCAGGGTTAGGTTGGATGTTGGGATGAAATTCTTTACTGGGAGGGTGGTGAGGCACTAGAACGGGTTGCTCAAAGAGGCAGTGAATGCCCCATCCCTGATACTGTTCAAGGCCAGGTTGGATGGGGCTCTGAGCAACCTGGTCTAGTGGAAGGTGCTCCTGCCCATGGCAGGGGAGTTAGAACTATATGATCTTTCAGGCCTCTTCACGTCTAAACCTCTCCACACAGGCATCAGAAACAGAAGTTTGGAAACACGGGAGAGACTTTGATGGACTTCCCTCCACCAGGGCAGTTCAAGGGTTGGCAAAGCCAAAAGGCCCTACAGAACAGCTTGCACCTTGAATTTAGTAAGCCTCTCGTGTTTTGACATCTATGTTGAATTAACCAAGTAACTCACACTTCAGTATTGGACTTTAATATTTCATGCAGGCTAACAGGCTCAATAAATATTTTAAGGTAATATTTGAATGAATCATTCTCTATTTCACTTGTATACATTTAATAAAAGCATTGTGCTGAAAACTACCACTTCTGGAGATTTGTTCCTTTATTCCTGATTCTTTGATTCACTTCATCACTCAAACTTTGAAGTCAATTTGAACTACATTTGGCAGCCAGATTATGAGCTCCCTGAGAACAATCAGCTCTTGGTATCTGTCTGTATGACAGCTTAAAACATGCTCCCAGTCCTGAGTCTTTGCTGATGATACTGAGCCTTTTCCCCCTTGTAGATCAAATGATATTAAGTAAGGGTTTGGACAAGTTCCCAAATTCTTGGAAAATGGGAAGGCATTAAATAAAACATAATACACCATTCCAGAGGGCTGTCATTGGAGTAGGTACTGGTTGTGCTTTATTTACAAAATCCAGAGATTTGTACACAGCAATCTACAGGACAGCATAGGGCTGGTATCAGGAGGATAAGGGACATGCTCAGCAGGAATTGAAGATGCCAGCAAGGGGTCATCCCAGTTCCACAGGGAACCTGCTTCCCCTTGCCTGAGGAAGCCACCAGACCCCTCCAGGAAGAAAAGCAGCAGCAATAGCCAATCCAGGCTGATGCGATTTTTGTTATCATTGAGGCATGAGAACACAAGTGACCGGTGAAGGAGGAAAGAGGAGACCAGCAGGGGTTCAGCACACCACTAAAGGCCATCCTGCCTGGTTCTTTACTTCCAGCGCCCACCAACCTTGCCCTTGGCTCCTGCCTTCTTGCTGCTACAATGCAAAAGGAAAGAAAAACATGTCAGCGTGATGGAAGCAGTGGGGCTCTGTGGCCACTCTGCATTTCTGACTCTTAGATTAGGTTTCAGCTGCTTTCACTTCTCACATGCTGGGCACACCTGCCATTTACCACATCCTAAGAAAAATATTGTTGATATCGTGGAAAAAGATTTCTCCTGAGGCTCTTGGTGTGAAAGGCAGGATGTGCATGCCTGAAAGAGATAGACCCTTCCAGACTCCTGGATTATCAGGGTAGCAATCTAGGTGGTCTCCAAATTAAGTGACAGGTCTCTGCAGCCACAGACTTGATATTTTCTGAATGTTTTCTGCATATTAATCAGCTATGCTCTGGATTTTAGGATTTAGAGCTCTATCTAGAGAAATTTGCTCAGTACGAAAGAGCTCTGATGAAATTCCCCAGATGCTCCATTCAGCAGTGGAGGCAAAAAGCTGAACACTAACTTATATACAACTAAGAAGTGCTTTGCTCTAGCAGAGTGACTATTTATACCATGAGAGCAAGAGCCTCCAAAACAATCCAACCAACCTTTTAGGCCTGCTCTCATATCAGTATCCTTGTCTTGCTCATAGTGTGTGGGAGCAGTCCAGCTACACTCCCCACTCAAAGCACCTGAGGCAAACTGTCTCCAAGAGTTCTTGCACACAATCCTGCATGCAAGTCACTTACCTTCTGCCTGAGAAGCCTGAACTCAGAATGAGGCTAGGCAGGACGTTAGTTGAGTTAGATTCTGCACTAGTTCCCATTAGCAGCACCTTGCTTTGTGGGGCTCAGCACACCTCCAAACCCTTCCATCTCACACACACAGTGATGAGGCTGCTTCTTGAACCAAAGCACATGCAAAGTGGGGGCAGCTCTTTGACTTGGCAGATTGTGGGGTTGGGGACCAAACACAAGGTGCTGGGGCCTTGCTGTCAATTGAGACCTTTCTTCAGAACCCCTGGTTCCTCCAGGGAGAAGAAAAACATGGGGACATCACAACCCCATGGATTGGTTCAAGAGCACCAGCCATATTTACAGAAGGATGTAGCACAGTGACAGAGACACACACATAGTGGATACTTTACCTTTGACCAAGATAGGCTTGGTCTATTTGAAAAAATTGATGGTTTACATAAAAGAGAGCATGCACTTTCTGCTTATATTAAATTAAGCTTTATGTCCCTTTTGCCAGCCTTTCTGAAGGTTCAAAACCCAGCGTAGGAACTGAATAGCTCCTCAAACAAAGACAGAGTCCTTTTATGTCCACAAGCACCTGTGATGTTTGATGTTACACCTAACCTTTAGAGTGTGCTTAAGGAGATTTAATAAAGTCTGAAGCAAAAGACTCATTTGATCCTTGTATAACATTCTGGCAGGCACTGCTTTGGAATGATAGTGTCTAGCATGGACAGAAATTTAAGCACACAGAAATCTCATTAGCACTGGGCTTCTCAGTGCAACCTTTTCAAATTATGTCCTGAGAGAGTATCATGTCTTTTGGGGGAACAAGCAGGCAGCAGGCTGTTGTGGGTGGTGTGGTAGTGCCCCTCAAGAGCAGGAACACCCAGACAAACCAGGGCATCTGTCTGCACATTCTGCTGAGGTTTATCAGCCTACACCTCTGTACAGAAAATACCACAGGAAGGTCAAGCCTTATGTTTGGCATTACAGACAACCAATCCCCCAGAGTTACATTCATTTGATAAGTCTGGGTGTCTTTGGGAAGTGGGAAGGCAGTAACTGGTCACTCCTGTCATCCAAAGACACCACCAAAGATCACTGCTTCATTCCTGGCATGACTTTGCTAAAAAGATACAAATGCACAAAGAAGAGCAATCACACCACTGGAGAGTTCTCTTCCCTTTCTGCCCTGCAGTTACTTTTCAGTGTTAGTCTTCTGCATGTTCTAACCCCCAGGCTGTGTCTACCCCTGGTATCTCATAAATCCATTAAAATACCTAGAATAAAGATACTAGACTCAAAAAAGTAATGAAGTAGTCTTGTGGTGAAGGAAAGTGGAAGGGAGCTGATGAGTGAAAAGAATTCACAACAGTAATCCCATTATGTTAGTCTTGTTACACACCATTCTTCGTAATCTTAGCAACCACTTGTTTATCCTTCATAAACAAGGGTTGTATTCCCTCAAGTATTCAAAGCACCTCTATCAGGTGTTTGAAAAACCCAACAATAAGCAGAGGAAATTTTTGAAGGTATGGTATAGTGAAGAAACAGGATTTTTTTCTTGTTAGGTGTTACATTCACTTCAGTTTCCCCTTCATTTTCTCAATGTGAGGCAGGATGGGAGTGGCCCTTCCATCTCTAGCCCCATTTCATTGCAACAAGAAAATGTCAGTGTTGAGGCTGAAGTGACACATTCGAACACTGAGAAGACATCCCCAAGCCAGGAGCTAGGAAGGGGATATAAATACTTACTGCTTCTGGGCCTGATCGATCCGGTTTCTGAGGGTGACAATCTGCAAACAACATACATGACCAGGGTTTTTAGAGACAAAGAAACCATGTTCCCTCAAGGAGAGGAGAGTTTTACCTGCTAAAGTGCTTGAAACAGGTGCCTGTAGTAGGAATTAATACTTCCTTTGAAATAAAAGCTCACCCATGGCTGAAGGACAGAAATGTTACTTCATGGCAATAAATCTGCAAACCACCTTCACATGTCAAGG